CTCATACGAGTCTTAACATTAGAAACAATTCAACTGAAATCTAGTGGACACATCTCCTATTGCAAAAATGGTGCTACCCAAAGAGCAGTCACCTTTGTTATGACAAGGACACGAGAGTAGCTGTCATTTCTCACCGTCCCCCCCCCAACAATGGAAAGTAAGTGCTGGCCAGAAGGGTCTGCTCAGACAGGTGCGGTGTGGTGTGGACCACAGATCACTGGCTTAGATTTCTTCCCGCGTAGGAGAGAAACCGCCATCGTTCTACAGAGACAAGATTTTTCCCCCATAGAATAGCAAGCAAGAAAACATTGCAGTCCCTTTGTTCAGTAATGCCCAAATTTGTACATATTCAGTATCATCTAAGTTCCTTGCTAAGCTTGCAACTTGCTGGATACCCCCACTCTCCAGAGCTCTGAAGGATGTCCTGGAAATCTATTTGCATGTTCTGTAGATAGCCCTAAAGTGGTGCATCCCAGACCTTTCCTCCACAGTCCCTCAGAATGGAAAGGCAGGAGTTGCGGCACATTCCCAGAATTCAGAGTTTAGACCGGTTCCAAGGGCACCTTTGAAATTGCTCCCCACCTCGTTTCTCTTGTTCCTACTTCCTCCCATTGCCCAACTTCCTCCTCCTCTCAACAGTGGAGTCTCCTCTTCATCGTGATTGGTCTTCCAATAGCAAATCAGGGGAAGGGGGCCGTGGTTGATGGCTCTGCCTGACTCGGCTCTACCCTGCTATAGCTCAATTCTCTTCTTGTTTACCTCTTCTGTATGCACTTCCTAATCAGGCTGTGTGGAGTTGATACTTGAAAAGAGATAGCTTCCCACTCATGGAAGAGTATTGTTTTTAGAGACTTTCTCGAAGGGGCTATAGGTTTCATTTTTGAGTCAAAGAGTAAATGAGTAGAGTGCCGTTGTAATGATAAAATAAAGCATGCAATGAGATCATCTACAAATTAGCACAGTGATAGACCATCATCATTCTTGCTCAGACCAACGCTCACCAGTAGCTGCAAAAACTGCTAGTGGCAAAACTTTAGGAGGAGACAAGACAGCTGTGTGGCCTCAAATTGTCCCTTTCAAGATACTGTGCTATAGAGTAAAGCTCTGGACCTTTATAAAGTCAGCCTACCTTTATAAAGTCAACATTGCCAGGAAAGAAAAATATTGATGTCACATTACTCCAGGTGGGACATGCAGAGAAGGGGACTCATTTCTGGAACATGACATTACAATGCAGTCCTGAGAAAACATCAGAAAAGCCTACACTGGGCCTCCTTTTACAATGCTTCTAATTTATGTCCTTCGGGTGTATTTTACAAATGGCAAGACCAGGTAAGAGGCATATTAAGGCAGATGGAGTCACAGCCAGAGGCAACATAGGATGTGGAGAGATTCGCAAAAGACAACATTGTAGGAAAACTGGAACAATTCAGATGTCTAATTCAGTTGCCTACTAGTTACTGGTAATGGACTGTAGGTTAATACGCCTATTAGTTTTGATCCTAAGATGTTGGCATGAGGGGAAGCGAGGTGAAGGATATAAAGAAACCTAGCATTTTTGCCCATTTCCTGTCCATCTAAGATTCTTTCATGACTCAATATGGAAAAGAAGAAACTTTTATTGTACATAGGTGGCCTCTCAGCAAGAGCTGTGTTTTTGGAAACACGTGAAATCTCTGCTCAGCCAACTTCTGCCTGTCTCCCCTCGCACATGTATGTTCGAGGCATGCTCAGTCACTTAGTGTTGTTTATTGGCTGCTCTGGGGTGGGGAACGGTACGCTTTTTTGCTTGTGTTTTATTAGCTGTGGTCCCACACCTCATTTTAAGAAATAGTAGAATGTCGCAAAGACCTCCAGTATCCCCATGCTTTATGGCAACCTGGCCCTTCCGTCGTGGTGGTGGTGTTGTTGTTGTTGTTGTTGTTGTTGTTTTTCCATCACCAATAACTGTGACCATCAGGAACTAATCAGTGGAATTTGCTATTCGCCAATCCTATTTCATTGTTTTGCACTTTTCCAAACTTGACATAAATTGCGTCCTACCCTATCACACCTGCAACTTGCATTGTTGTTGTTGTCGCTGTTGTTGTTCTACGTGTATGTCTACTTTGTCTCCAATGTTTACATCTCCACTCTTTTTCTAAGTTTAGGCACCATAAGTCACAATACTGTTCATCTCTTATATTTTCATTCTGTGTATACCCATTAATTATTCGTTCACCTGGTAAACATAGTAAGAGAGGGTGGTGTGTGTGTGTGTGTGTGTGTTTTCTTTCTGAATGGTGGTGGTTTATTTTTGAAAGGATTTTCTGAAGGCAAAAGAGATCTCTACTCTTTCCGGATGCCAATAACACCATTACACACAACATTAATGATCTATGAACCTCCTTAAATTTTTCTTTTCTCTGGTATCACAAAGCTGCTCAAAGATCCAAGGTGAACATTATCAAGATATAAGGATTTACTCTTATTGAATGAATAAGAAAACACCAAAATATATGAAACACTGTCTGCATATTATCTTGGACTGATTTATTCTTATTCCCTGAGTTGTTGCATGGAGCTGTCTCCTAGGACCTTTTCTTTGTGAGCAGATTTATGCACTCAGTGGGATACTGGTCACGGAGGTGGAAATAGGGAGCATAAACAGGACCCAAAACTTTAATTTGAAAAACAATGTGCTAAGTTTGCAAGCAATGCAGTTTTTTGTAGTTAACATCCTTGGGGAAAGTTTGACAAAATCGGTAATGATTTTTCCGGTATTTGCCATTAAAAACCAGAGAGAACTTTTCTCATTTATATGAGGGCAGAACTCTTGCTTTTTGATGTATTGTTTTCTTGGCCAAAAGCTTGATCTGCTTTTAATAGTATAATGCTTTTCCCCAAAGTGGAATTGTCCAGATTAATTTTTTTCTTCCAAAATTATTTTATTTAAGTGTTGATCTTACTCTGCCCAAAAAAAAAAAAAAAACCCAAAACAAAAAAGTACAACCTATTTCACAGTTTTCCTACCTTATTTGGTTTCGGCAATAGCATTGGCATAGAGAAGCCGGGCTAATATTATTCATATTTTACACATTAGGGGCATAGAAAAAAAAGCCCTGGGGAGGTTAGAGTTTCTCCTCAGGGTCTCAGAACAAGAAATCAAAACTTCTAACCTTGTCCTAATTCTGTCCAGTCCTTGCAGTTCTGGTGCTTAAAATAAATTAAAATATTCATCAATGCCCACTTGACATATTCTCGTAGTAGGGGGAGTTTCTCATCAGCATTCATGGTATATGAGGAACTGTGTTTTTGCTCCCCCTTTTATTAGGAGAGGTTTAGGTAAAAATTTAAAGCATTGCAAAAGAGCTTGTCCTGTCTGGTGTGTATCTATTCTCAAGCAAAGAGAAATCTTTTTAAGTGAAACCTATAGGAAGGTGTTACATAACCTAAACTTAAACTATCTATGAAGACAAATCACTTTTTGATCACCCAAGACTACCTATGAATGGAAATTTCTCGGCGGATAGACTAGGGTTGATCACTCAAGTTGCAGTTTTAAAAAATGCAGAAACAGTTCACTTGGAATATTGTCTTCATGTCAGAAATGTACCTCTGTGCCTGAAAATGATAAAAAATTGCAATCGATCCTTACAACTGTTCTGTTCATCTTTATTGATCAGGCGCAAGAAAGATAAATCGCAGCCCAAATAAGATTATAGTAAATGTTAGCATCATAGGGGACTCTGGGTTGATAGAAAGCTATTCATCATCTCAAATGGTGACCTGTCCATTGCACCAGCCACCTTGTGTCTGCTGTCTAATCACATACCTATTGATTTTATCTACACCCAGCAAACCTGGATGTGACGCTCGTTGGGCATCCCAGATTGTTAAATGCAAAGGGGTCACTGGTGTGAAGAGGATTTCAATTTCATTTTCTCACCCACCAACAATGATTTCTTAAAAAAATAAACTACCTCCAGTCTCACATGTGAAATCAGAGTGATGAGGAAATGAAGGCACACAATAGACCATTGTATCGCTTTGTGTTCTTTTGAGCCACAATGCATTTTGCAGAATATTTCACTGAGTCTATAACCATTGGGAGTCATTCAGACCACCCCTAATCCCCGCACACAGACCTCACCCCCCACCCAATTAAGATGGTTTTTAAAGTAGCTAGCCAGAATGAATGACTTTTTTTTATTTTTCTGCCCCAGGAAAGTTATTACTTTGTTATTACCACTTGATTTATGTTGCTTAGAAGTAATAGAAACATTTTCTGTGGAAAGTTTCCTAAATCTTGCCCTTTGTTCTGGTTGTTCTCTTTTTGGAGGGGGTGGAAGGTGGAGGGAATGCCACACCCGGCTGTGGTTGGGGCTTACTCCTGAACCAATGCTCAGAGGTCACTCCTGGCAGGGTGCAGGGGACCGAGTGTGGTGCTAGGGATCGTACCCAGGTAAACCACATGCAAAGCAAGCCCCTTACCCACTTTACTGTATCCCCAGCTCCTTGCCCCTTGTTCATACTGATTAATTTGTGATCAACGTTGATGATTTTATTATTGTGTGGAGGTTACAGAGTATATTCTATGCCTGCAGTATTCATCTTGAATATAAGAATGTGTAAAAGGAAATGGTCCTCTACAATTCTAGATATGTTATAGAACTGTAGGCAACAGTGGTGGATGGAAATGTCATTATTCAGCTCAAACATCCTTTGATCTTAATTCTAAGTGAAGGAGATGTAATCTTTCAAAAAATAAGTTAGGGGTTTTCTCAGAAGGATCAAATAAACTAAAATAACTTTCTGGGTTAGAGTCGGTAAACAACGGCACTGTTACTCAAATGGGTCCTCCTGGTATTTCTTGTAGATTTTTCTGACACTTATGCGAGATATCTTTGTTCTTCTGATTGAGTGGCCAAAACAGCTTTCTGTATTATTGCATATTTAAGTCCTGCACATATTCGTTCCTCTTGGTTAATGAAAACTCTACTGTTGATCTTTGCCCACAGAACTCAGAGTTCTACAAGGTCACCACTGAGCAGTATCAGAAGGCTGCTGAAGAGGTGGAGGGAAAGTTCAAGTAAGTTTTTTTTTTAAGTTTTCTAATTCTTTTCTCTTCTTGGCAAGGCAAAAGGGCAGTTGTATTGCTGTTTTGAGCAGAAGATAGATGAGGTAGGTGGAACTCTGGGATACTTGGCAGTGTGGTTGAGTGGAGTCATATAATTGGCACTCTCAGAATTCAAAGGTGTGTAAGGGACAGCCACTGAAAGCATGTGGCAATATGTTTTTTTGAACTAAGGTGAAATTGAGAGCAATGCAAGTAGAATTTTCATTTGGAATAATACAGACAGTTCCTACCTTCTTGGACTATGAAGGTGCTATTAAACTGCTAGCTCTATCAATAGAAACATGAAAATGACTCACTTTTATGTATAAAATGATGAGCCTATCCAAATTTGGGTCCCCGCCTTTTCCATGTTTAAGCTGTTTTCATTTCTTCACACATGCCCTGAAACCATTTACATCACAGACTTTACCTTGCCCTTGACTGTGTAGGTGATGTTAAATTGCTACCCCTATTAATCCTTGGAATGTTCAAATGAATGTTATATAATTGATGGATCAAAGTGTTTGTAACCCGTAACCTTATACTTCGCTGCCCGTTCTCACATTGGGTAAGAAGACATCATTCAGAATTTCCCTGCGTGTATAAACAGTCCTGTTGCATAGTCCATGTTAGTAGCAGTGCACGGGCAAATTAGTGAAGCAGAATGAGGTGTTGTGACAGGTTTAGTTGAAAGATTGCATGGGGCCCTGACCTCCCTCCTTGCGTGTGTTTATAAGCCTTTGAGAAAAATGATTAAACTCTAAGTGATTGTTATTTCTTCCTACCGACCATAGTGCAAGTTGCGCGTTAAAGACATAGATATTAGCATTTGAATTATTTTTTAAAGATGTTTTTGTAAAGACAGTTTGAGGTATTTTTAAACAGACAAAACACTCAATTTTTTTTAAAAATGAATTATCTCTTTGGATGCAACGGATAGAAACTTTCTATGAGTGTGCCACAAATCTCACTCTTAAAGGTTACTGTGCTATCTTAAGAATTCAGATACAGAATTGGATGTAGATTTTAAGAAGCTCTAAATATACCTTTCTAAGTTACATTCTTTTCTGTCTTCCTAATGATAAAGCAACCTTTTTTTTTTGTATGTTTGTTTTATTTTTGTTTGGGGGCAGGGGTGGGTATCACTCCTGGGCTTACTCCTGGTTCTGTGCATGGGGTACCATATGTATTGCTTCCTATGTCGTCTGCATGCTAGGCAAGTATCGTGCATGCTGTGCTATACCTCTGGCCCCCAAAGCAACAGTTTTTAAAACCTGTTTGTCTTTATAGTTCGAGAACTTTTGACCTGTATATTTCTTCATTGTAAGATGGGGGTGACTGTATAGATAACCAGAATTGAAAATGCACCAAAGGCAGACAGTCCTATCAAGAATGAACTGTGAAACTGTGATAAAGAGATTTTAGAGACTTTCTAAAGAATTTTGAAAAAGTGGAAAGAAAAGATATTTAAAAGGAACATTTGTTTAGCTTTAGTTGTGGCTGACCAACGCATGTCGCAGAGGGACTCAGAGAGACTCATGCTAAATCAAGTGGGGAAGATCAGAAAGGTGTAAGGGCCTTGACCGCTAGACCCAAAAGTTTGGTCTTCATTTAGTAAGAGATCAGTGCAAGGTGTTCAACCAGGTAAGGACCCTGATATCTTCTTTCCTTTGGGAATATTAACCCGATACTATATACTATAAGTTTGCCTAGAGGTGAAAATAAAAAGGACCAGGTTGAAGTTCTCTACAAGTGAAGGAGAGAAGGAGACGGATGCAAAAATCTGATCTAAAGAGTAGACATGGATCAGTGATTGATTTTGCATGTGAGTTTGATAGAGCTGCCATAACAATATGCAGCACACTGTGTGTATATATAAATTTATTTCTTTACAGTTTGGGTGGGCTGGAGCGATAGCAGAGCAGTAGGGCATTTGCCTTGCACACGGCCAGCCTGGCCGACCCCACTTTGATTCCTCCGTCCCTCTCGGAGAGCCCAGCAAGCTACCAAGAGTATCTCGAATGCATGGCAAAGCCTGGCAAGCTCCCTGCGACATATTCAATATGCCAAACACAGTAACAAGTCTCACAATGGAGACATTACTGGGCCCGCTCGAGCAAATCGATGAACAACGGGAGAACAGAACAGAACAGTTTGGGTAGACTGGAAATTGTAGATCAGGTTAGTTTCTTTTGAGGTCTTCCTCCTTGGCATGTAGATAAGTCTTCCTGTGTCTTCACATGGTCTTTTTCTGTGTGGTCTGATCTTTTCTTACTGGGAAGCAAAGGGATGGCAGGGGGCGGGGGGGGGGTAGGAGAAAGAAAGACATCTGTTAATGCTCAAGAATCACTCCTTGTGGTGCTCAGAGAACCATATGCAGTGTCAAAAATTGAACCAAAGCTGACTTGCAAGACAAGCACCTTAACCCCTGTACTATCTTTTCTGGCCCCTCTTTTTCCCACCCTAATCCTTTTTTCTTTTCCAGCCCTAGATCATATAAATGTGGTTATCAGCCATTTTTGATGCAGGTCTAAAATAAAGACTCTTCATTTTTAACTTAATCATCTCTTTAACGACCTTCTGTTCAAAAACATTTTTTTAGATTTTTATTAGTGAAACACCATGAGGTACAGTTGAAGATTTACAAATTTTTCTGCTTGGGTTTCAGTTATACAATAATCAAATACCCATCCATCCCTCCGCCAGTGCCCATTCTCCACCACCACTGATCCCAGTATCCCTCCCACCCCCCTTCTCCCCCATTCCACCCTGCCTCTGTGGCAGGGCATTCCCCCTTGTTCGCTCTCTGCTTTTGAGTGCTGTGGTTTGCAAAAGAGGCATTGAGAGGCAATCATGTTCGGTCGAGAGCCTACTCTCAGCATGCATCTCCCATCCTAGGAGGATCCTCCCAACACCCTTTATTTGGTCCTCCCTTCTCTATCTGAGTTGCCTTTTCCCCCAGTGTGTGCGGCTGGCCTCCAAGCCGTGAAGTAAACCTCCTGGTCCTTAAAACCTGGTACTCTGTTATTCTTGTGTGTTAGTCTCCTATTTTGTTACTTTATGTTCCCCAGATGAATGCAATCTTTCTATGTCTGTCCCTCTCTTTCTGACTCATTTCGCTTTATTTCTTTTTAAGAAACCATTGGCCCTTTGGACTGTCAGTGTTTAGGAGTGCAATTGTAAACCTCTTCAAAATATACTAACACGCCATCACCACACAAATACATGGACCCTGCGTTGAACACCCTCCTTTCGTTGGTTCCTCCCCACCCCACTGTCCTCTGGTAATCTCAGCTCTGCAGTGAGTCTGAAGGTGTGTTTTTATTTAGCCGTGTCTGTGCCCTTGCTCTGCTTCTCTTTATCCTGCAGGTGAGTGAGATCAATAGTATTTGTCTTTCTCCTCTGACTTGTTTTCACTTAGCATGACTTCCTCTAGTTCCATCCGTATTATTTGCAAAAAAGCAAAATTTAATCATTTCTCCTAGCTAAGTAGTATTCTGTTGCATATATAGCCCACCTCTTTCTCCACTCATCTCTCATTGGACTTTTAGGTTGATTCCAAATCTTGTCCATTGTGATGAGCACTACGTTTATCACTTGTATCACTTGTATTACTTGTCATCCCATTGCTCATCTGTTTGCTCGAGCGGGTGCCAGTAATGTCTCCATTTGTTCCTGTCACATGCTAGTGTAGCCCGATGGCGTCTGCTCTTTCCAGGAACACGAAGAGCATCAAGCCATTCATTCAGGGTCCTGACAAAGAAGTCCAACCATCTCCTAGGCCAGGTGTTCTTTTGATATCCCATGGAATCCAGTTGGTAATAGCTCTAGTCCAGCGGTTGTTTCCATATATAGGTGTGCATATATCATTTTAAATGCATGCTCTGGTATTTGGATCGATATCTAGAAGTAGAACTGCTGGATTCTATGATTAGTTTATTTCTGAAATTTTGAGAAATCATTATTCCTCCGCCCCTCTCAGAGAGCCCGGCAAGCTACCGAGAGTATTCGATATGCCAGACACAGTAACAACAAAGTCTCCAATGGAGACGTTACTGGGCCCGCTCGAGCAAATCGACGATCAACGGGAGGGCCTTTACCTTTACCTTTATTATTTTTTCATGGAGACTAGACCAAATTTCCTTTTGGTGTGGTTTCCTTTTTCTCTACACTTCACCAACACTTTTGTTTCTGACCTTTAACAGATCGTTGCAAAGTGATACTTTCCTGTTTTGATCTGCGTTTCTCTCCTGATAATATGTGATGATGAGCAATTTCTTATATACCTTTTGGCCCTCTTTTTATTTTTCTGATGAAGGAGCTATTTAGCTTGTCTTCCTCTTTTTTTTTTTTTTTTTTTTTTTGTTGAAAAAAAGCACAGTGACGTACTCCGTGTTAGAATCTGGACCTGTAAATTGGAAGGGAATCACAATTTAATCCTTAATCCTTGGATAAAAGGGGTAAAAGACTCAAAACTAGAGCTTAATGAATCGAAAAGTTGGCAGAAGCTGGATTTTAAAAAAAAAAAAAAGACATCTGGCTTATATGCCCCAAAAAAAGATCCTCTTTAAGCAAGTCTTGCCCACCAGCCATGTCCTTCAGCCTCAAGAAGCTGATTGGAAAATGAAAAACTACCTAGAGAACAAAAGTGAGTGGATATCCCTCCCACTCTCGAGATAAAGCACACCTGTGGGTTAGACTTAGGTTTAAATCAGGCCTCAGCCATTTTTTCCTCTCCTTTCTTTATGTTATTCCTGATCAGATCTTAACTGTTGAAGGGGGGAGGCCTGGTGGGGGGAGGGCTGGGAAGTAAAGAATGTGGCCTTTCCTGTAGGGAGCTCTGGCATGCATAAGCTCTGGGAGGTAGCCCTGAATTCTTGAAATTTTTCATCAGCTCAGAATGTCTCATCACTCAAGATGGTTCTCTTGGGCCGTGTGGTGTCATCCCAGCCTCTGATGGAAGAGGTACTAGA